GAGGGAATAAAGCAAGTTGCAGAACATATATATTAAGATGCTGTGTTGGGAGTCCCCCAAGACCACCCTGAGTCTTGATGATTCAATAGAAGAGTTCACAGGACCCAGAGGAGTTATAATACTCACAGTTAGAGTTTAGTACAGCAGAAGGACAGAGATTAAAATTGGTAAATGGAAAAGCTCATGGAGCAAGGTCTAGGAAAAAGCAGATGTAAGCTTCCAGGTGTCTCCTTCCAGTCTCCAGCAAAGAAGTATGACAAAACACATGTGAAGTGTTGCCAACCAGGGAAGCTCATGTGATCCTTGGTGTCCAGGGTTTTTATTGGGGGTCATTCATGTAGTATCCTCATGTAGTCACGTAGTGCCCACGTGACTGAGGTCAGCTATTCAGACTCTAGACCTGCCTGCCTCCACCTAGCAAAAACAAATATTCACCATGAATCACTTCATTAGGATAAATTTGTCCAATCAAACTGGTAAGCATGGCTCAAGGGCTCAGAAGTTATATCCCACAATCAAGCCAAGGACCAGTCCTGAAGACAAGCCTTTCTTTGCAGTGTACAATGACCTTGTGAAGTAGATATAGGAAGCCTTTTAAAATCTCTGACTTTAAAGGTCTTCCATAATTATTCCCAATTCAAACTTCATCTTTCAGACTTCATCTTTCTGCTTCCTAATATAAATCCAGTCAAATTAATCTCTTTACTGTCTCCTGAGTACTCCATCTTCGTTCTTATTTGAATGCTCCTTTCCTTCTCTCTGTCATGGTCCAATATATTTGCCTCTTTTTTGTGAGGCAAACATGGTAACCACTACACTATAGAAACCTGATTGCCTCTTTTTTGAAACCTTCCTTTCTAGCTCTAACCCACACTGATTTCTCCCTTGTATAATTTTTTGCAAATATGATGCCTAATATATAATTTAGCAGTCTGTTATATTGATCAGCATCATGCATTTTATTTATATAGCCATATTCATTCACTGTCTACTGTGAAGTTTGATATCCCCAACTTGACTGGCAATTTTATGTAGTTGGCTCTGTTTTTTTGTCTCTTGTTGTCTATTGTACTGTATGAATTACTATTGTGGTCATCCATTCTTGTTAGTGATTTTCTTATTATCTCTGTAGGTCACTGTAATTGTAGTATGGAAATTTTATGACTGAATTCAGGCTAGTCAGAACACCAAACACCTTTTAAAAAAAGAGAAGAAACTTTGTAAATTGTTCTGTTGGAATATTATAATAGGTACAGGTCGACCATTTCTTTGATTAATATACCATGTCCTTATAATATTAGTTAAATTAACTATATTTTGCAATAACTTTTTTAGACTAATTTTTTGGTCTTCTATATTTCATAATTCTCATAAAAAATGAAAATATTTTCTTGGAGGAAATAGTGTACCTTGAGAAACTCACTAGTAAGTACCATATCAAAATGTTTATATATTTAAAACAGCAATTTCACATTGCATAAAGATGATTTAACTGCTCCAGGTATTTTGTCCATAATATTGCATATTAAAAAAAGAAAATATAGATTTCTATAAATCTCCCTTTTTTCTTTCTTACATTGGCATCATTTATGTTATCATTAGAGAAACAGATAATAATAAAAGACACCAAAATGTTTTGTTTTGTATAACTATCATTAGGAGACAGGGTCTTTCTCACAAATAGCTTACCTATTCTTCTCTTGTTACTCTTTTTCCTTCTTAACTCGTGTATATCCATTTCTTTTCTCTAACTCTGTTTTATCAACTTTTCCATTTATTTATTGTACATACCCAACTCTATTCTAGAATAGATTTAAGATGACTTTATGCTCTTTTTCATTATCTCCATTTACTTCAGTCTCCTGTTGTAAACTGCCCCCCCCGCCAAAAAAAAGCCTATGTGAGTATGATTTGTTCTTTAACTATTTTCCTGATTGACTATTTTTTTAATCGTGGTATAGCTGATTTACAATATTACATTATTTTCAGGTGTACAACATGGTGATTCAAAATTTTTATAGATTATGCTCCATTTAACGTTATTATAAAATGTTGGCTCTATTCCCAGTGTTGGACAATATATCCTTATAGCTTAATTATTCTATATATAGTACTTTGTACTTCTTAATCCCCTACCCCTATCTTGCACCTCCCCCCTTTTCTCTCCCCACTGGTAACCACTAGTTTGTTCTTTTTTTTTTTAATTTATTTATTTATTTTTGGCTGCGTTGGGTCTTCGTTGTTGCTAGTTTGTTCTTTGTATCTGCAAGTCTGTTTCTGTTTTGTTATATTCATTAGTTTTATTTTTTAGATTCCACGTATAAGTGATAACATACAGTATGTATCTTTCTCTGTCTGACTTATTTCACTAAGCATAGTACCCTCCCTGTCCGTCCATGTTGTTGCAAATGGCAAAAATTTCATTCTTTTTTATGGTTAAGTAGTATTCCATTTTATATATACATATATATATATATATATATACCACATCTTCTTTATCCATTCATCTATTGATGGACACTTAGATTGCTTCCGTATCTTAGCTATTGTAAATAATACTGCTATGAACATTGGGGGGTACATGTATCTTTTTGAATTAGTGTTTGCATTTTCTTCAGATATATACCCAAGACTGAAATTGCTGGATTATATGGTAGGGTTTTTTTTGTTTTTTTTTTTAGGGCACACAGTGCCAAATGTGGGATCTTAGTTCCCCGACCAGGGATCAAACCTGTGCCCCCTGCATTGGGAGTGCAGAATCTTAACCACTGGACTGCCAGGGAAGTCCCTATTTTTAGGGGTTTTTTTTGTTTTGTTTTATTTTTTAAATTTATTTTAGGCTGCCTTGGGTCTTCGTTGCTGCACGTGGGCTCTCTCTAGTTGCAGTGGGCGGGGGCTACTCTTCATTGCGGTGCGCAGGCTTCTCATTGCAGTGGCTTCTCTTGTTGCAGAGCACAGGCTCTAGGTGCACAGGCATCAGTAGTTGTGGCGCACAGGCTTAGTTGCTCCACGGCATGTGAGATCTTCCAGGACCAGGGCTTGAACCCGTGTCCCCTGCATTGGCAGGCAGATTCTTAACCACTGTGCCACCAGGGAAGCCCTATTTTTAGTTTTTAGGTTTTTAATTAATTAATTAATTTTATTTACTTTTGGCTGTGTTGGGTCTTCATTGGCTGTGCACAGGCTTTCTCTAGTTGTGGTGAGTGGGGGCTCCTCTTCATTGTGGTGCACAGGCTTCTCATTGTGGCTTCTCTTGTTGCGGAACACAGGCTCTAGGCATGCGGGCTTCAGTAGTTGCAGCATGCTGGCTCAGTAGTTGTGGCTCGCGGGCTCTAGAGTACAGGCTCAGTAGTTGTGGTGCACGGGCTTAGTTGCTCCGCAGCATGTGGGATCTTCCCGGACCAGGGCTCAAACCCGTGTCCCCTGCATTGGCACGTGGATTCTTAACCACTGTGCCACCAGGGAAGCCCTATTTTTAGTTTTTTAAGGAACTTCCATGCTGTTTCCCACAGTGGCTGCACCAATTTACTTTTTCCCACCAACAGGGCACAACAATTCCCTTTTCTCCACACCCTTTCCAGCATTTATTATTTATAGACTTTTTGATGACAGCCTTTCTGATCGGTGTGAGGTAATACCTCATTGTGGTTTTGATTTGCATTTCTCTAGTAATTAGCGTTGTTGAGCATCTTTTCATGTGTCTGTTGGCCATCTGTATGTCTTCTTTGGAAAAATGTTTATTCAGCCCATTTTTAAATCAGGTTGTTTGTGTTTTTGATATTGAGTTGTATAAGCTGTTTATGTATTTTGATATTTCCTGAATGACTCTTTACACAGCAATTAGAAATATATTGGCCTTATGATGTGGTGAGCCATCTGTAGAATTGACCAATACCTCCATAATTCTTTCTCTTTGTACTTAACTTTTCTTTCCAAGCAGAGGAAGTTTGTCTCATTGCAATGTGGATTTTAAAAATATAATTTGAAAATTTTTAAACCTATCATAGAAAATGTTTATAACTTCTAAAAAAGTCTTAAATTCTTACATCATCAGTAAGTTAATGTTATTCATATTTTAGGGATTTACTAAAATTTACTTTTTTGCCACTTCAGTGTCAAAGTAGAGTTTAACTTGTGTTGTGAGTCACACCTTAGTTTGCCTAGCATTTTTATTTTCAATGTCCATTTGTTGAATATTGTTGAATAGCTTTCTACAGTAGGTGTTATGTCTGTTGCTCTTCTTGATTTCTAATTGCTATGAATATAATATAACAGCCTCATGTCAGTCAACTTTCTTAAGCTTCCTCTGTCATTGACTTTTAGAAATATTGTTCAGGAAATGAGAAAGAATAAATCAGAATTACTTGGGATGTTTTTCAAAACACATACCACTAGGGATTCTGATAGTTTACTCTCTTTGCCATCCCTCCTTGGAAATCCATGACTATAGTGAATCACTGTTAGTGAAGAAACTTAAAATAGCCCTCCAGTATGTTAGTTTGTCTTATTTTCCAAAAAGAAACTAGCTTACACGGTACTCATTTATTCTGATAAGAAAAGTTATCAAAATTATTCGTGGAAAGTGATATTTCACAAAGCAGTAAATGACTACAGATTTCAAATATGTATTGTATCTAGTAATAAAATTATTTATTCTTCTCCTAAAGTGTTAAATTAGACAAATACTTCTATCAGAGAAGTTGTTGGTTATTAGGAAAACAATTCTGAAAATTGTGCCCTTTTCTTTAAGAAAACATTCAAACCTTAAGCAGCAAGTACTGGAATTAACACAAAAGAGAAATTCTTAAATCAAATTATTTTCGGTCTTCGTTCTTATTTCCTTTTATCTTGGATAACCTTCAGAAAGTGTATCTTTTTTTTATAACCAGTATCCTGAAAATTGCCAGGTTTCACTTATCTACTTTCTGGTCTACCTCCAGTATAGGTCCCTTCTTTTCTTCTCTCTTCACTCTTGAATTAATCCTCTACCTACTTCACAGGCCGATTCTTTGATGAGAATGAATCCCCTGTTGATCCGCAGCATGGCTCTAAACTGGCGGATTATAATGGGGATGATGGTAACGTAGGTGAGTATGAGGCAGACAAGCAGGCTGAGCTGGCTTACAATGAGGAAGAAGATGGTGATGGTGGAGAGGAAGACGTCCAAGGTGAGCGTGGGCCTGGCCTCCATGCTGTGACCGTGAAACCCACCTCTAAGTTTTTTGGTTGAATTTGTGTAGAATTTTCCCCACTTAATAGCAGTACAGTCTTAATACAGAGAGGTTCTGTGCAGTTTTTCAATTTTATTTTGAAAAACAATTTTATGATAGTGGTATTTGTAGACCTTTAAATAAATCATTTTAATTTTTTTCATTTTTAGTTATTATGTGATATATATTAGTGTTTATAGTTACAATCTGAAACTCAGACTTTTCAGAAATTTTAGAATTAAATTGTTTAAAATGGCTCTAGACTTTACCTAAGGCAAATACTCCCAGAAAAAAATCTTTTCCAATTTCTCATCTGAAAGCATTTCATCATTCTAAGTACAGATATTAACCAGACAGCCACAAAGGGAATGGTCTCGTCCACACTGAAGATAGGATTATTTCACTAATGATTCAGCATAGGAAGGCTGTTTTTGAAATTTGTTCTGAGAGGCTTAAAATTTATACTAAACAGTCAGTTTTTGAAGATTTGTCTGTTTTGTGTTTAATACACAGATTCAACATATTTTCCTTGTTAACTGTGTTCCTTCTGAACTTTTAACTTAGTGAAAGTTCAGAATCTACTTGTTTGCATGCACCCCTACCCACGCATGCATATCAGAGTATGTTGCTTTATTGCAAGTTCTTAGGCCTGTTTTCTGCCTGCTTATATCATTTAGTAGCATTTATGGAGCTTTTTCTCTTTTCTATAAAAATTGATTATGAACTTAATGTGTGAAGTATTCAATTTTATAATACATTGCATGAAATATTTTTCAATGTAACCTATCTTGATTTCTTCCTTAACTCTTTTTAAAGTAATTAAATGTTATTTAGGTTCCTGACAAGAATTGTTTCTGTAAAACTCAGAAGAAAATATAGTTGTCCTAGAATACTACATAGTTAATAGAAAAAGGAAAACTAGAGACTCTGACTTCCACCTAGGCATTATTTTGTTAGTACATTCTAGTTTGGGAAGAATGGTTATTGGATTAGAAAGAGATTAATAAATGCTAGGAGTTATATACGGATGTTAATGAGAAATTCTCAAACACTTTTTGGTATCAGTGAAAAAATTGTACTCATCCATTTTTCTACAATCTCATACATTTTTCATAAATCTTACCATTTATTTCTCATTGCTTTTGTAATTTGTTTGGATTATATTTATTTGCAATTATTTATAACTTAGTTTTAAGGCTTTTTCATGCATGCATATCGTATTGCCAATTAGATTGTAAGCTCTTGGAGGGCAGGAATTATCATTTATTTTGCCTTCTATTTTGTTTGTATCCTTTTCTGCCTTCATATTCAGCCCCCACCCCCACAGTAGTCCTTAGCGTACCTAGGGCCCTCAATAAATACTGTTAACTGATCATTTTATGCCTTTCTCATTGAGTTTTTATTCTTACAACTGTGACTAGGTTAATAACCCATTAACTTCTTGTCTTATAATCTTGCTTGGTTTACACTTTAAACATTCTCTGTTTTTCTTTCATAGAAGCTTCTATCATCTCATTGTATAATTTTGAGGTTTTTATTAGAACAATTAATTTCAGTGGTATTGAAAATTATTTCTTATATTTTGGCTATCTTAATGTTGATGACTTTTATCACAAAGTTCTCATTTGATATTTTTATGATTTTTATCCATAATAGATACATTTATCTTCAGTGCCTTCTCTCTCTCTTTCCTATGCTCTTCTCCCTCTCCCACCCCTAGTTCTCATTGCCACTTTCTACTTTAGGTCCCTGGTACCCTCATTCAACCCCTCCTTTTCCTTTCACAAGAGAATAAATCCATTGATTCTAAGGAATATAAGGAAATGACCTAAGATGATATTCTCAATGAAGTAGGGAGGGGATGGTTAAATTTGGGGGTTTCCTCATTTGCAAGTGAATCTTACTTGAGCTGGAGATTGCCATTTAACATTTTTTTATCCCATTTTGAGGTTCACTAGCTGATAGCAGCAGAAGGATAGTGCAGCTACTAAGGGACTCCTTTATCATAGGGAACAGAAAGATGTAAGAACATCTGCTCCAGCAAATACAGAGAGAGAAGTTTGGGTGAACTGACTAAAAAGGAATACTGGAGACTTGAATATTTAATACCAAATAATTTTAAACATGTTTTCAGAGATTCTTTAGGTATAGTATTAACTGTCTAAAAAGTGGAGAGTGAGAATTATGGTTCTTCCCTAGTTTATCAACAATATGTATTCCAAATGTTTATTATTAAGTTAGAGTATTTAAAAGCATTTCTTCATAGCTTCAGTGTAAAAATAATGGTTGGGTTCCTAGGTCAGTTTGCATTTTCAGCGAAAGCAGGCAGTAGAGTGGAAAAAACCATTAGCCTTAGAACTAGGAGACCAGCTGTGTATTGCTTTTCTAGTCACTTATACTCTCTGGGCCACCATTTCTTCATCTGTAATGTAAGGGTGTTGAACTAGAATACATAGATGATCCTTCTTAGTTCTAAAATTTTGTGGTCACATTCATAGTGGATTCACTGTAACACAAGTATTAGGGACAAATGTGTTTCATATTTCAGCATCTAAAATAACATCTTCCCCCAAACCCTAGAAAGAAAAGTGGAAACTTTATGCTGCCATTGAAACTCTGCAGCCAGAGATTTCAAAAATTGAAGCATGCACTTCAGAAGCACTTTAATGTTTCTACCAGTAGGGGCTCTGCTCTGCTCTCCCTGGTATTAGAAGCAGTTGTGTTTTTTTGTTTTGTTTTGTTTTTTCTCAAGCTGTTGGGTCCCTAGTATTAGACATTCCAGCTGCAGGACTGAGGTTCTAGCTTCAGCTAAAGACACTGACTTTGGTCTCCGAAATTCTGGATTATGAAATGGAGGCTTTGACAGCATCTCTGCTAATAGGGAGCTAAAGAATTCCAGCTTTATCTCTGATGCCTGTTTGTGCATATTGATCATTTGGGTCAGTACTGCCTGCAGAGTGTTTTCTGTAGAATTAAGTGAAGCCTGTTTTTCCTGTGTTTACAATCCTGGTTTATTTTGATTTTTAATTCCTGGTTTCCTGAAGCATCCTAAAAGAAATATTATTTACTTTGGTGTAAACATTTTTTCCCTGACTTCTGCTAATGATCCAATGAAAAGGTTAACTAAAAGATTAACTCTGGAAACACTACACATCTGATAGATATATCTTTTAATTTATTCTTTATTATAAAAAGGATATGGATGTTTACAAATTCCCTTTACTCTTATCTTTAATGCCATAGAAGTTCCAAGTTTGTTTAATAGAATATGAAATGCACATTACTAAGTATACCTATGGAAGGAAGTTTAGCATAGTGCCTAAGTGCCTGGATTCTGGAGCCAGACTGCCTAGATTTTAATCCTAGCTCCACCACTTACTAGCTCTGTGACCTTGTGAATTACCTATACCTCTACTCCTTGAAATCCTTATCTGTAAAATAGGGATAAATATAGTTACCTAACTCAACAATTGTTATGTGGATTGTATGATTTAAATATTTATTCAGCACTTAGAACAGGATCTTTCACACTGTAAGCACTGTGTAAGTGTTAAATAAAATCATTTTTTAAAAAGTAAAAGCAAGTGTAGAGTTTTTTCCCTGGGACGCCTGCTTTAGAGGACAATTGCACTTTGGCCTGTGGATTAATTTGTACTTTTTTTTTTTTGCGGTACGCGAGCCTCTCACTGTTGTGGCCTCTCCCGTTGTGGAGCACAGGCTCCGGACGCGCAGGCTCAGCGGCCATGGCTCACGGGCCCAGCCGCTCCATGGCATGTAGGATCTTCCCGGACCGGGGCACGAACCCGTGTCCCCTGCATCGGCAGGCGGACTCTCAACCACTGCGCCACCAGGGAAGCCCTAATTTGTACATTTTAATGGAGGCTCACTGCCTTATTTCCCCAAGGCATTCTTGCTTGGTAGAGCTTGCTTTATGGAGGTGGTCCTTTCTTGACTTAAGAGGGAATTTAGAAATTATTTGATAAATTATAAATATCTTTATATTTAATAGTCACTTTATGTTGATGAGTTATTTACAGATTTTGCTTCTTTGTAAAATGAAATAAAATATCAGTCCATATAATTGTATTTAGTGGCTGTTATTGTATATCAGATTTGGTTAGGTAATTTTGTCATAGATAAATGCAAAGAGGTTGTTGGTAGAAACATGAATTCTGGTTAGAATAGCTACACTGAAAGTAGACTCTAGTTAATGTAAATGGTAGCTCAGTGTAAGAGAAAGGCAATCAGAAGTCCTATGAAATTATGAAAAAGCAATGTGAAGGCACCATATTAAAACTTTGCTAAAGAGCATAAGTTAATAAAACCAACAAACTCCTCCTTATATTTATAGAGGACTTCGGAAGTAAAGACTGCCTTCCTATGCATTAATTTACTTTGAAGTTGGAAAAATAGTTGTTACCCTAGTCTACTGAGAAGGTAATTAGAAGTCTAAAGAGATTTAGGAACTAGATCATGTTTGTTAAGTGCCTGAGCCAGGACTAGGGTTCTGTTTTTCTGTTCCTAGACCTTTGCTGTTATCTTGTTTTCTCTTTACAATTATTTATTTAAAAATCTCAAAAAGTAACATCATTTTTTCCTTTGAATAACTTTCCTGTAAATTTCTAGAAATTCTTCTTTATGTAGTAGCTTTTCCCACTGCTCCATGGTGATTGTCTTCATTTAATTACTAAAGTCCTAAAAGATGTGTTTATAGCCATACGGTGAGGTCCCATAACATGGGTCCTAAGGAGAGCTTTCTGGAGAGGTGCCAGTGATTATTTTCCTTTTTAAAACCAAGATAATTTTTTAAAGTATGAAGAGTTCTTTGATAAGAGAATGATTAGTATATTTTCAAAATACAAATGTGATTATGGATGTAATTTCAGCCTTTGCACCTAACAGATTTGGGGTTATCATTGCTATTGAATTACAGTATTAAAAATATGAGATCAATTTGCTAGAATATGAAGAATGATTGCCTGCAATTCTAAAAGAGAATTTCTGTAAATTTAACAGGAAAGTTATTGAAAGGTGAGAGAAAGTTGGTTTGTTTGGCATTTCTAATAACTAAATGTAAAGAAGAAATAAGAACACGTCATTATGGAAAGTTTATACATAGTACTTACACTACATGGTACATACAAATACACGTACAGAGTACATACACCACATGGCATCTTTCTTGAACAAAATGTTACCATACAATATACTAGAGAAGCTGAGGGTGGAAAAGCTATCAAACCTAAAAGAATAGATTGGAGATAGCTATAGTATACATATGAATTTGGAATCCAACCCCTCTTTAAAATACATACCCAGACAGTTATGATAGTAATACTTCAATATATCAAAAACTAAACTATTGGGTAATTGTAACTGTGAACCAGAAAGTAACAAAAGTTATTTTTAAGGCTGTGGAGGAGCCAAAAGATGTCATTAAAAACCATGTACGGGCTTCCCAGGTGGCGCAGTGGTTGAGAGTCCGCCTGCCGATGCTGGGGACACTGGTTCGTGCCCCGGTCTGGGAAGATCCCACATGCCGCGGAGCGGCTGGGCCCGTGAGCCATGGCCGCTGAGCCTGCGCGTCCGGAGCCTGTGCTTCGCAACGGGAGAGGCCACAACAGTGAGAGGCCCGCGTGCCGCAAAAAAAACCAACAACAATGTACTAAAAAGGGAGCCTCTTAAGCTCTAATTAAAATACTAATTTTAATACTCTGAGCAGTCTTATTTCAAAACTTGAAGATAGAAATAACTATAAAATTAGAAAGGAAGAGAAGAATTGTTGTTGGTAGTTAAGCTGAGAGTAGTGAAGTGACAGGTGATAGCCGAGAAGGACCCAGAAAAGCCTGTCAATAGCCAAATAAGTCGAACTCTGAAGCACTATATGGAGTCGTTTAGTATAGCTACTCAAAGTGACTTTGAGGATGTTAGTGTCTAATAATATTGTGTGATAGTTTTTTTCTTTTCGGTAAAGAAAAGGTTGTTTTTTAACATACTCCATTTGGGAAGTTGCTGGTAAGCTATTTGCAGAATAGCAAAGAAATTCATTTAAATACTAAATTTGGGGATCATGAGTAACTTTTATTTTATTTTCTAATTTTTACTTGATGACTATGGATTAATTTTACTATTAGAAAAAATGTTTGGTTTTTAAAGGCATGAAAATGTATAAAGAACAATTTCTACCAAAGCTTTAATTTAAAGGACTAACTTTCATCTATATAGAAATAATATATTTACATAAAAGGATCAATTCCTCAGTGCTTGTGGAATCCTAAAGCTTTGCTAACTATCTAGCTCTACTTATTTCTTTCATCCTCTTTCTTTTCCCTTCTTCCTTTCTTCTTTCCTTTCTCTCTCCCCCACCTTTTCTTCTTTTCTTCCTTCCCTTCTTTCTTTTTTCTCTATCATCAAAAGATTTGTTAAAATTAAGTGATTTTCCAAAACAGTTACAGACTTTTCACTCATTTGCCAAGCAACTAAGAAACAGAACAGCATTTACACAGGTGTAAGATAACGAGTAGAAAACTACATTAAGGCTGAAGGAAAAAAATAAAAGAGAGAGATTATTTGATTGGATTTCTGTAAGTGATTTTAAAAATAATATTCTTGATACCTGATTATTTTCCTTACAGATGATGAAGAACAAGAACTGCAAATGGATCCTGCAGACTATGGAAAGCAACATTTCAATGATGCCCTTTAAGCCGTAAAGGAAAACTTCAGAAAACCTAAAGTGCTGTAAAATGGAATCATTTCTACTTTGTCGATTTTGACTTTTGTTGTAAAGATCAGTTGTATCAGTTGTAAAGATACATTGAGATAGATTTAAGGAAAATTTTAAATGAAAGAATGTACCCATGTACATATGTGAACTTTTCATATTGTATTATTAAAGCAGAGACTTTGGGGTTATGTTACAGTTGAGCCAAAAACAAAGTAAGCAAAACTGTAATCTTTGCATTTAAAGCAAACTAATGTATATTTTACATTTTATTGAGGCTAATTCTTTCCACAAATAGACAAACAGGAAAAATGATTGTACAGTTTATATGTTGCACATAGCATAACCACAAAGAGAACAATTATTCAACTGGAAAACTTTTAATACACTAATACATGCTTGTTAGCCCAACAGGTGTTCTGTTCTATCCACCCCTCATCTCATGCTGTTCAAGGAATCATACCTAGAATAGTTGCATGAAAGAGGGGAACCTGAAAGCCAAACACTGGGCAGCAATGTACAAAATCACTTCCCTACTCTTTTTATTTTACATGAGTAATGATGTGTTTCGGCAGATAAGCTTTCAGCTGAGGCCTGATGGAAGCTGAGATAACCTGCAAAGACATAACAATATTTATGAGTTTTACCTTACTTAGTTCATGAAATTGTGAAATGCATGATCGATGATGTATTTTCAATTTTTAGTTTTTCAGGTAATACCAGTACGGTTTAACCGTTACTGGCTAAAATTTTTATATTTTCAGAGTTAAAGTTGGTGAAGATATTAATGATTTAAATGCCAGATTCTGAAAGAGGCTAAATCAACCCTGAAATGAATTTGCAATCAGTATTTCAAAGCATCTCTGGTAGTTTTAGTGATCTTATTTGACTAGACTTTTTCAGAAGTATTAAATAAGCAATTTTAACAGATTTTTATTAATGCACAGATAAGTAGAAGTACAGTGAGATCTACAGCCATTTTATTAAAATAGCTTAAAAGCTTGTAATAAAGATGAAGAACCTTTGTATTTACTTAATATGTTAGTTAAGAACCCATAAACCTCATATTTGCTAGACTTACAAAATTATTTTAAATGCATTTGTCTTTTTTGACACTCCTCAGTAGAACGTGTAAGCTAGCTAATCCTTGTTTTCTGATTGAAAGAACTTCTAAATCTTATCCCCCTCCCCCCAAATAAAAGGTTTTGATCATGAGAAATTTAAGCTTGTTAACTCTGTGTTTCAGAAGGGCTACTGTTAATTGCACATGAACATGAGATGCTTTTTTCCCCCCCGTACTCAGGTTCTAGTCAAAATTCAAACTTACAGAGATTAAAAAAAAAACAAAACAAAAAAAAGGTTGTTCAATTATTGGAGGTGCAGAAATTCTTAGACTTCAGTTTTAAATTATTTAGCAACCCAGAAAAGATGTAGTGACTTACTAAAATTGTTTTTTCTACCATATCAAAGTTAGTAATTCATGGCTTTGCTGTAGAGTCAGGCCTATAATGAATAGGTATGATAGTTCACAGGATTTTTTTAAGTGGAGTTAAAGGGAATTGATGTACACCTTTTGGAAGTTAGGGTGGGAAGATGAATCTAAAACAAATTCCTAGTAATACTTTATATTTAATACTGTAAAATCTTTACAAATGAAAACCATGAAATTTCCTGCCTTAGTTCCTTTGTCATAAAAACAATCACTTGGTTATATGGTAGCTATTACTTACACAGCAAAATTTCTTCAATTAGCAGTCTAGACATTTTATAAACTGAGAAATCTTGGATCAATTGATAATATTTTTGACTGTATTAACATTTTAGTGCTATAAAATACTATGTGAATCTCTTAAAATTCTGACATTCTACAGTCTGTATTAGACATGCTGGTTTTATAACGTTTTACTTCTGCCTTAAGATTTACGTTTTTTAAATGTATTTTTGCCCTGAATTAAGTGTTAATTTGATGGAAACTCTGCTTTTAAAACCATCACTTACTGGGTTCTAATAAATTAAAAATTAAACTTGTTTTACTATTTTGCTGATTCTGATACATATACACACTCATGTGATGCAGTTAGATTTTAACACTAAAATTTGAGTAAATTTAGAATTCATTTTAAGCTAAGCTAAACTAGAATGGCAGAAATTTTTACACTAGCACTGTTTACTGTAATGCTAGTTTATTCAACAAATTCTGAGTGCTTCCTATGTGCCCAGCGTTGTTCTACGTAGTAAGAATACTGTAGTAAATAAGGTAGACCAGGTTTCTGTTCTCATGGAGCTTACATTCAAGTGGGAGCAGTCAGACAATATACAGGTAAATACTTGAATCAGATAATTTTAAATAGTGATAAGAGCTATTATAAATAAAGTTCCAAGGTTCCAAGGTCTATAAAGTTCCAAATAATCAGGTTTTCACATAACTGAAACATTGCAGTTGTAAGGCTAGAGTATCATGAGCAAGGAGAAGACAAATAAGGCTAAAGAGGTATGGAAGGGGTAAGATTAGGGAGAACCTCGTAAGTTTAGGTTATTTGTTACTGACCCATAAAGAGAATATGCAGAATATAAAATATACATGGGAAGATGGTTCCAGGGAAAATGTAAATATGACTTCAAAGTCATTTCTCAAACATATACCTTTATTTAAAAAAATAAGATTGTATGACTTTTTGACTTCTTATTTGTATCATCCTGTAACAACAAAATTTGCTAGAATATGAGGGCAGAGAATGTTTAAAAAAAAAAAATAAAAACAAAAACATGAGGGAGGTAGTCACTTCCCATAATGGCTGACCTTGGAAACTTCCGTTCTTTCACATGTCTTACCGTATGGTTTTAATAAGACAAACAGTGTGACACAAATACATTTCCAAAGTTTAGGTTACTGAGTCTTAACATCACATGTGGGCCATCAACATTCAGTTCTAATTGGAATACATCTAGTTCGTTTTAAAAGATTCTCCTCGCTAAGGGTTCCAAATGAAAATTAAACCAACTATCCCAGAAAGTAAGGGGGAATTTAATGGTCCATGTAAGCAAACTGCATATAGGGCAGGTGTCTCCTGGACTTGAAGACAATTGAAACAAGGACTTGAATGCTGCCAGCTTGTTTCACCAGCTCCCATTTCTGCTTCCCTCTACTTGTTCTTCATTCTCTCAGACCGGCTCCCCTGCTCAAAGCTCTAACCAAGATTTCTAGCAGGTCATGTTTTCCTAGTTTTGCCACTTTAAAGGGGCTCCTCCTCTTAGTTCCACTTCAGAAAATTTGAGGGAAGGGAGACTTCTGCTTCTGGCTATGATTTAGTAACTTACCTAGACCTCCTGGATTAGGAGCAACTATAAAACTGGACAAGATATATTAAGCAACTGTTTTCAGGTAGCACAAAACTGAAATTTCTGAGATAAGGGAAACTTAAGCAGTTGAGCCCCACAATCACCGGGCTTCCTGTGGTGTAAAGAGGCTGGAGTGCTAAGCCAGGAAGATAGAGATCACAGTGGGGAGCAGCTGAAATATTGGAAATTATGGGAGAAGGAAGCAATTCAGAGAGGTGGCCCCAGAAATCCGTATAGGGGTCCCCACAAGTCCATGGCTGAGGACAGGCTGTATATAACCATAGCAAAACCACCTCATGTGTACCGAATAGCAGTTGTGACAAACTTGAGAATGGAACAGATACCAGAGGTCAAGCAGTGTTGGCATAAAAAGAGTGCTAAGGGACATTGGGTGTCTGGGCCTGACAAGATGGAAATCTCCTTAACAACTGTGGCATCCAGCTGAAACACTAGAAAGGTTGCACCTTAGGAGTAAAGACCATGCCCTAGAGTAAGACCTACTGTAGACTGCCCTAACATGCTCTGACACCATTGACATGGGAGACAGAGTATGGAGATTTGAGTCCTGCCAAGTTAGAACTTATGAAACTCCTTTCCACAGATAAGAACTAACAAAGCATAAAACCAAGCCTACACTAGTTTAAGGTGACCACTCAGTAACTGAAGTACCTGCTAAAACAAGAATCATCACTTTTCAGAAGAAGATAACACAATTCAGAATTTCTACAAGATATACACAATATCTGGTATTCAATGGAAAACTACTAGAAGTACAAAGACACAAGAAATTGTGATCCATATTTAGAAAAATTGAGATGGCCTTGGTATTAAAAATATGTTCAAAGATTAAATGAAAATATGAGTGAACAGATAGAGAATCTCAGCACAGAAACAAAAGTTACAAAAAATGTAATGGGAATTCTAGTGTGTGTGTGTGTGTATCTTTTTTTTTTTTTTTTTGGCTGCTCGGCTTATAGGAGTTCCCCGACCTTAATGGGAACTCTAGAACTGCAAAGTACTAAAACTGAAATGAAAAATTCATTGGATGGGTTTAATAGCAGATTGGAGATGGCAATAGAATGAACTTAAAGAAATATAAATGTAGTTGTTCTGTAAGTGTTTGGAAATGGAGGGCTGAAATGCTGAGAGACCCCGAAATGTGGATTTGGGATTCATTTTTCAAATATTTATTAAGTATTCAAGATGCTGTCCACTCCATTCCCTAACACAGAAACCTAAAGAGTCCGTCATGAAAGAACATGGATCATGTTTTCAATTACTTATTAAGTAGAGAACTGTTCTGAGTACTGGGGATACAACACTGACAAAGTCACTGCCTTCATGGAGCTTATATGCCAGAGGGAGAGATAGATAATTATTTTCTATACTCACAGTGATAAATGCTATGAGAAAAATAGATCTGAATAAATAGTGATGGAAGAGTGCTATTTTAGATAGGATAATCAGGGAGGGCCTTTCTGAAGAGGTGGTGTGAGAACAAGCCATTTGAATAACCTGTGCAAAACTACTTAATAGAAATAATGCACGTCACCTATATAAATTTTTCTCCACCTTTAAAAAACAGGTGAAATTCTGATATTTAACCAAAAATATTACCATTTCAACATGAAATCAATAGAGAATACTACTGAGATATTTTACATTCTTTTGTACTAAATCTGAAATCTAGTGTATATATTGTACTTACAGTACATCTCATTTTGGACACTAAATTGCCACTGAAAATATTTTATTGGTATTTAGAGTTCATTAAACTTATAGTTGAATAAGTATATTTACATACTCAGGTTCCAAGCATAATTAAAATAGACTTTACTTTTTAGGGCAGTTTTAGCTTGACAGCAAAATGGAATAGAAAGCAGAGTCACCACATACCCTATTCCTGCGTGCGCACACACATGCACACACACACACAGCTTTCCCCACCAACATCCTGCACCAGTGTAAAATTGTTACAATTCATAAACCAACACTGACACATCATTGTCAGCTAAAGTCCTTTGTTTATGTTAGGATTAATACTTGTACATTCTATGGATTTGGACAAATGTATAATGACATGTATCCATCATTATAGTATCATAATCGTTTCACTGCCCTAAAAATCCCTTATGTTCCACTTATTCCTCCTTCCTTACCAAACCCCTGGAAACCACTTATCTTTTTACTGTCTCCAAAGTTTTGAGTTTTCCATAAAGTCATATAATTGGAGTCATACAGTATATATAATTTGAGTCATACAGTATATAGCCTTTTCAGATTGGCTTCTTTCACTTAGTAATATGCATTTTAAGATTCATCCATGTCCTTTCATGGCTTGATAGCTCATTTCTTTTTAGCTGAATAATATTCCATAGTATGGATGTACCACCGTTTTTTACACAGTCACCTACTGAAGGACATATTGTTTACTCCAAGTTTTGGCAATTAGGAATAAAGCTACTGTAAACATTTGTGTGCAGGTTTTGTGTGGACCTAAGTTTTCAGCTCCTTGTCGTAAAAAACACATAAAATTTACCGTTGCACATTTACATTTAAAATGTACAATTCAGTGGCATTAAGTAAATTCACAGTGTTGTGCAGCCATCACCACTATCTAGTTCCAGAACTTTTTCATTACCCTAAATGTAAACACTGTTAAGCAGTCACTCAAGTATTAATTTTGAAATTTAAGTTAATTAAAATTAAATAAAATTAAAAATTAACTTCCTCCACCACACTAGCCACATTTCAAGTGCTCAGTAGCCACATGTGGTTAGTGGCTATTGAATAGCACAGGTCTGGGGGAAGAGAATTAGAGGCAGAGGAAACAACAAATACAAAGCCCTTTATGCAAGAATACACTTTTTCAAAGAACAGTTAGTTGGCCAATATGACTGGAGTACAAGAGGTAGGGAATGTAGTCAGTGAGGTAGCCAAGAGTCAGCTAATGGTTTTTCATGTCATAGTAAAGACGTTAGATTTTTTTTTAAGGGTGATGGAAAATTTATAAAGACTTTTAAAATGATCAGTCTGACTACTGTGTTGGAAAGATTGAAGGAGGTTAAAGAATGAAGCAGGAAGACTTTAAAGACTTACAGGTGAGCGATGTTACAGTATTCCAGGTGAGCGATGATGGTTCTTGAACTAGGGAGGTAGCTGAAGTGATGAAAAGTGTTTAGATTCAGGATATATTTCAAAGGTTTAGATTATTGCATTTACAATGGATTGGATGTTAGACATAAGAAAGAAAAACTGTATTCTGTAAATTGGAGAACACTGAGAGAGAAACAAGTTTGAGAGAAAATTAAATTTAGTTTTGACCATGTTATGTTTTAGATGGTCATTGCCATCAAGTGATTGCAAAATTGGAGCTAGATGACAGCTCTGATATTTTAATATTTATTATAAATATTACTTTCTTAGTGAGTTGCTATAAGAGTGATAAAAAACATGTAACTCATAGAGATAGAATTAATTAGAATGGATTCTGAAGTGCACATGCCTTATATATCAGGTAAAAGGTAAATATATATTCCATATATTCTGGAATAAGGGATCTACTGAAAGACTGTTGAAGATTCAAGATACTTGTATTACATTACTTAGTGATTAAATGATAAATAGGATTATTTTTAATGTTTTCATATAGCATAGTTTTGAACAGTTTAAACAGATACACGCCCAAACAAGA